ATCAGCTTAGGATATGACTACTTCTAACTCATAGAAACTGTTTCTGCAAGATGCATAAGCTACAATTATCCCTATTCCAGGATTCCTAATTCCCCTTATTTTCTTTGGAGAAGTGAAAGACAAATTAGCTGACATACTTACAACAGAAATGGGTATGGGAGTAGCATGATACCAGCCCAAGAAGTGCCAGAGTGAGCTGGCAAATAGATACCATGACTTAATTCTTTAATTATCTCTTCTGAAGAGCAGCACTGCTGAAGTCTGAATATCATAAAGCCCTTAGCGAAACTTGTCTGAAGTTGATTCGTTTGGTTTCTCGTTGAGCTCGTTCCTCAAGGCTAATCTGCATCTCTAATTGTGTTTTATGTGCTTGGAATACAGTTTACCACCTTTTATTTCTACCATTGCATTAAATGATTCAGTAGTTATTTTACAGCTTAGAATAAATGCTCTGTTTATAAATATTACAATAAGCTTATACAGTAATTTGATTGTCATTCAAGCAAGAAACTGAAAACTCAGTCTTCAAGCTCATAGGTTTAGAGGTGAAAGCTAACAATTTCCATACCATTCTGGGCAAGATTGAGACCCTTATTTTCAAATAAAAGTGGAGTGGGGAAGGTAGAATTCCCACAGAGCTGCATCACTTCTGTATCAAGCCAAAGCTGCAGGCTTTGTCATCTTGTTCTTGAAGGACTAAGATGTCTGTTGATTTGAGTCTTATGCAGATGAACTTTTAAAAGTGCCAGAGAGACTTCTGCCCTGCAAAAATAGCTGAGCTATCACTTAGTATATAACATTTACCACTAACTCTAAAACTGTTAAAATTGAGAATCTTCCTGTGTCTGGGAATGCAGGAGAGATACATGTTACTGAGATGTTTTTCACTAAGCTCTGAGCAAAAGTTTGGCATACATTTTTTCCAGAGAACAAAAATCCACTTCTTAAATGCTCAAGCCTGCTAAACTTGCTTCTATTCATGTGGAACCATGACACTTGCCCACCTGAGCTGTGACCAAGACAGTTCTAGACTCATCTACTCTGCACAGATGCCAGTGAGATGTTAGAGGAAACTACTCCTCTCCAGTTAAAGAACAGGATATGGCACACATTGATGGGGTACAGGGCAAGTTCCATTTTCTTTGATAAGTTTACACATCATCTTAATCAAAGTAACACACTTTGTAAAAAGAAGGTAAGGAAAATCACCTGCCCATGTGGATGTGTTAATACTTCTCCCTAAAGACACAGGCTTTTCAGAAGGTTTGCATTTTTCTGTCCTGCCTCTGACAGGGAGTGCTTTTAAAAGAAAAATAAAACTACAATCCTATACATGTAAAGCATCTGTGTGTACTCAAATGACTGTACAAGAGACAATGTGGGAGCAAGGTGATATTCTGCAGCAAAGCAGCCAGCCCTGAGTGTACCACATCAACCAAGGGAAAGAAAGTTGCAAAGAAATTCATTTTGGCTTAATGCCATTCCTATGAAGACTGTATTTTACATGATGTATGTGTACATTTATAGGGATCTGGCACATAAACATGAGACAAATTTACTGCCAGAAGTCACAGGAAGATGTGAGTAAAGTAGGAATGAAATAATGTGTTCACTTGTACAAGTAGAAAACTTCCAACTGAAACCAGGAGGAACATCACAGTTCAAAAAGTAATTTCCACTGTGCTTTTCTGCCTTCTCAGAGACATCTGTCCATGGGTGAGATGGTCCAAGAGTGGGACTTTCGTCTAACTGGCCCATTACTGAAGGTGAATTAGCACAAACCTGGTTAATCCCAGATGAAATGCATATTTCTTCATATTCATAACCATGTGGTCCAAAACAAAAGGATTAAAATCTGTGAGTATCCCAGCCCTTTAAGAAGTGATAAAGCATCATGTAAATACACTTGAGCACAATCTATTGCTTTTAACCCACGTACAATACGTTATTTTACTCTAATGTACACATACACCCTCTCCTTACCTTCCTTCAGCTTTCTTAGAGTGATGCCATGTTAATCTGCTGAAGGTCAAGCTGAGAAAATTGAGGAAACAAAACCAGTGCTCTCAGGAATCATGTCACGTCACGTTGGGCTCACAGACAAGTGGGCATTAGCTGTAGATACAGGTACCTGACAGTTCATCAAACTCCTTCATATGTCTGGTATCTTATCTTGGATTATGAATTATTGCATTCAGTTTAATATTTTATAACTTATTAGGGTGCAATTATTTTCATACATTTGTGCATTAAATGCAGGAGTGGGTGTAACCTGAAGTACAATTCTCTCCCTGTGCTACCTCCCTGTGATTGGCCACAGTAGAGATAATTGTCCTTCATTATTGTGGGTAGTAATTTGCATGCAATGAATCATATTTTATCAAGAAGTAAAATTTGAATTTGTGTCTTTTAAAGAACTGTTTGGGTTTTATCCCTCAGTGTCTCATTGTAACTTTTCTTTATAGCTTGGGAGTGTCATGACTCAGAGAAGCACTAGAGCACAGATATGTTGACAGATTTGCTTTCTGTCATTTCATTTAAATTGAATCCATTTTCCAAAATGGATTTTGGAAATACATTGCTAAGACATACCTTTCCATTTTTTAATACCTCCTGTTTTTTCTTTGGTTGGGAAATAGCTACTTGTTCTGCCACACTACAAAAAATGTATAAACTCATATAAATATATAAATTATACAAAAACACACAAAAAACCCCTACTAAACCCAGCCCAAAATCAAAACACAACAACAAGAACTATATGCAAAACTAAAAAAAAAAAAAAAAAAAAAATTTTGAAATTATGAAATTTTGTTAGGACACTAAGGACAGTACAAATTGCTTTTCTTGAGAACACAATAGGTTATTCTAAATATATGAAAAAATAAAGAATTCTTTATGTACCTTATGCTACCAAGAATTTAATGTAATCAACTAAATATTAGTTACATTAATTATGAATTTCTAGATTGGATGAGAAATCAACCTTATAGTTCATCCTCCTGAATCTGTATTTTTTTTTTGTCTACTTATTACAATATCTCAGTTGAAATGCTGGACTGTATTTCTTGAAAGCAATGAGATCATTAATAGCCAAGATAATGAAGAGTGGACAGATTTACACATCTTTTCTTCCCTGACTGCTTTTGCTCTTCAGGAGAGCATTTGACACAACACCATTGAGACCACGCAGAAAGCACCATAAATCCCTCACAGTTCTTGAGGTGGCTGCAAGGAGATCTGTGTCATGTGGCTGTCTCTCATTTTGTTTATCCAAAATACTTCTGTTTACTGGTTTCATCTGGGCATTTAAAACTGTTTTATACTGCTGCAGGCCTTCTTGATTGATAAAAACCAGAAATGGGAGTAAAAGCGTCACAACAGTGATGAAAAATATAAAAGTGGGGGGAAAAAAGTGATTAAGAGATAATCAGAATTATTTTTTGCCCCAGCTAATAAGGAATGGACCTTGTTTGAGGAAGAAAGGAATGAAGGATTTTGGCTTTTATTTTTTATTACTTTTGCTCTTCATTAAGCCTTTTTTCTTTTTTTTTTTTTTAAACTATTTCCAAACATGAAAGGGATGATTGCAAAGGTGTTGTGATAGAGTCTTTGGACTGATTCTGATTTCTTGGCCAGGAGCACAAGCTCTCTCAAGGGAGTATTAAAGCAAGTAAAAGGATTTCAAAGTAAAGTGAAAAATACATGAACAGATGCAAGAGTGAAAGATTTGGGCTTGTCTAAAAGAAGGGACAGTCATAACAACTCATGTATACATGCATAGCAGTTTGCCTTTTAGTGGAGAAAACAATATATACTGCTCTCTGCACTGGGAATGGGATAAAAATAGTAGTGAACACGTCAATATACAAGATGCAGGCCAGCCTGGGAAAATATTTCATCTGAAAGGGTAATAGGTATTCAACTCCACCAAAAAGGTGGTTATGAGACCATTGCTTTAAGAATAGCTTAGGCAAATGTGTCAGAAATGCTGAGAATGTCAGACACTCACAGGGTTGACCTGACCTTAGCCTAGAGATGAACCCTCCAAGTCTTTCCTAGACTCGTTGTCTAAGATTGGAAATTGATCTTATTGGTAAAATGTAAATCCAAGGACTCAGGATCTTGCTTGTGACATAATTTCCTTCATAAGTACCACTACAATAAGGATCAGAGGTTTACTGGATTACCAAAATATTGGGTAAATTAATTTTAATGCTCTAATTTAATGAGGGCCTGATCCAGAATGGGATAGACAAGGTTGGAATTCACTCTACTTAAAAAAAGGGAGGTGGAGGAAAAGAATGCTCATCCTTGACTGACTGAAAAGGCTAATTAAAAAAAAAAATAGTATTTTTCATTCAATTCTCTCAAAGATGGTTTACTGTGATAATTTTTCAGTTCTGTGTTCATTCGATACAGGAAAACCTTTAAGGTTTTTACAGCAGTTATATCTGAATGTGTTTGAAGATCAGTTCTTGTCCAGCTGTCCAGTCCCAGCTCCAGTTCAGAGCCAAGGCTACTGCATAAACCTCAGCCTCCAAAATCAGATTTAACTGGCATGGATTGGACTTCAGAGGAGCTATAAATGAACACATCAGTGCTCACAGACAGTATTAGCAGACAGAAATAGCTGAACTAAGATGATGCAGAAACTATTTAAGGAAAATTAAGTTACATTAGTAGCTTGTCTGAGAGCAGCAGATAGTTTATGTTTGCCAGACATTTTGACTTGAGAGAAACAAGGCTGGATGACTTTTGAGAACAGAAAGTAAGGCAGGACAAGGTTCAATAATGGTACAGAATAGAAGAAAATGTCCTATCTAGTAGCAGAAACTTTAATTGTAACATTAATAATCTTTGATTACTGGTCTTTGTGATGAAAATATAATATATGTGATACGAGTTAATGATTTCAAAAAGAGTGAGAACCACTATTCTGGGCACTGATCAACTTGTGCAAATACAAGTTTGAAAAAAAAAAAATGATTACCTGAATCTTGAAGACTCTACCCTCTAAGGAGACTGCAAATACTTGAACAGCTACTTGATAGCATATATTGTCTGTTGGCCACTGTCCACATTATTCCTTGGTGAAGGTGACAAGGGCGGTTACTCCTGCATGAACTTTGCCAATGGAGAACTGTTTTCAAGACTGACATATAAAAATGCAAACAAAAGATAAATGGCGAGAGTGCAACATTTCAGATGAAAAAATCTAAGGTAAATACTCAGTTTTATTCTATGACTTACTACTGGTGAAGCACATTAAAGGCTGGCTACTTCTGAGCAAATTCTAACTCCTTTCCAGTGGTGCCAGAAGCTGAGAGCCTGCTAAAGCAACCTGGGATGCTCAGTACATTTGCTTCCATTTTTATTCCTTGCAGCAGTTTTTCACAGAACACACTGCAGACAGACATCTGAGGACTTTTATTTCTCACAGAATACACCAGAGCTGGATTGCTGAGAAGAGAAAGTGCTAAAGGTTGACTTCAATGGGAATGTTCCCTGACGAAGGTGAAGATTTGACCCAGAAAGGTTTGAGTGTGTTTCTGAACAAACTGAATTATCTTTTGTGCTTCACAAACATGGAGCACTTAAAAAAAAAAAAGTTTAGCTCCTGACTCACATGTTTGAATGAAACTATTTCATGCTATTCCTTAAAAAAAAGCCCTTCTATTTTACTTCCAAACTGCAGTGAAATGTTAAAATAAAAATTGTTTTCAACCCTGTGTTTTATAAATGCAGCGCATCAACCTTGGAAGTTGTTGGTATTTAGATTTTTATTAATTCTAAACTCACCTCTTTTCATGAAACTCTTGATTCCTTTTTTACTTGCATTTATTTGCACAGTAAGAACATGTTACTTTTTAAGCAATTGCTTTAAAATTTGGACCTTATTCTTTTAATACAAAATATTTGTATTGAACAAAAATACCCACAATCAAAATGATACAAACTGTGTTTGGTCATGAATAATGAAGACTTATTTCTTCTTCCAAAGATAAACTGTCTGCATTGTGGCTCTATGATATTCTTATCTATGAAAATATTATTTTCATAATTCTGAAATATTTCTAATCTGCCTAAATTATCCATTTGTTTAGCATTATTTGATCATTATTGTTTATTTAGAGGAGCACCTAATTTAGATTCAGTAAATAGGTTACATCAGAACAAAATATGTCAGAGTTTTTAGAAACTAATTTTAATTGCTGTGATTTCTTTTCTATATATTTTTTCTGAAAATTTTATATAGCAAACAATAATTTTTGTCTATCTAATACTGATATCTGCAGTATATATTATGTCAATCTTTGAACGTTACAGTTTAGATTGTTTTAATGTATTGATTAAATTTAATATTGAATATTAAAAAGTTAAATAGTTAATAGTAATTTATTGAAATAGAGAAATAACCAGTGTCCATGTAATTTTGTCGTGTTGCAGTATTTAAATACTTTTCAGTACAGCTCAACATATTCCTGTTAAGAATTAAGCACATCTTTTGTAACTGATTAAAGGTGACCAGTTCCAAGCAGAAGAAACATGGAGAGATGCACTGTAAGAAATGAGCTAATAACATTAAAATGTGGGAAATCATTTTCGAAAAGTCTGAATCCAGACTTGTGCTTTATAAATCACGACCCAGAAGTAACTGGGGATTCAGCCAGATCTCATTAATTGCAGAGGAAGAGAAACTATAAAGTCTGAAATTTATGTAAAACCAGTTCACTGGTCTATTCTTTTATGGGAACTATTTGGAATCAATCTGTATCTGCAACTCTTCTCTGGGAAATGAGTCGAAGAGCTACAGCAGGTGCTTTAAAGTAATAAGGGATTTCCTATGAAACCCAGTGGACTGATGACTCACCAGTTTAATTATGGCCTACTCTTCTGTTGTAAAAGCAGGACCATCATTTGTAAAAGGTTCTTGTTGAGTAAATGAGTTTGAACAGAAAATCTTTCACAGGTAAAAAGATACCGGTATTTTATTTTAAGAGGTATAGGATTTATAGGGAATATCTTCTGACTACTACAATGATTAGTGTTGTCTGAGTATCCCCAGAGTAACTGGATGGAGCAGCAGTAACTCTTTTTGTGCAGTCTGGCTTTTCTTTATTTTCAATTTCTGACTTATTTTTCAGTTCAGCCATTTGATTTATTCTTAAATAATATATGTATATCCCAGGTAGACATTACCATAGTTCATACTGCTTTGGACTGAGTGGAGTGGTTTTGTTGTGTTGTTTTTCTTTTGTTTGGTTCTTTTTTTTCCATTAAAAAGAAATGGCTTAAATTACAGTTACTATTTCTTAATTTCACAATACCATTCCTTTCCTAGCAAATTACATATGCCTAGGAAATAGGGCAGGCTTTATAAATGGTGAACCACCTCTTGTTGCTGTCAATAGGGCTATTTACTTGGAAAACCACAATCTTTCACCCCATAAAATGGGAGATAAGATCTACCATACCCACTGCATCTCTGCTATAAACAATAGACACCTCACATCTGATGATACAACTTGCCATCCTGACGAGCAGTAAAAATCCAGGCAACCATAACAGCTGAATCAGAAACACCCCACTCTTTACAATATTTATTGCAAAGTAGCAGTTTCCTTTGAAAACTCCATTGATGGAAGTGAGGGAGGCTCTGGCATTTAGGGTATGGTAGACAAAAACCATTAGGCAAAATGGATTTTTTCATGGACAGATGGGTCATTTAGCGCAGCTCTCTGTTCATTTTTTAGGTTGGGTGGTTGGTGTCATTTGACTGCTCCACTCAGAAATCATTAACGTGATTTTGCCTGTGTCTGTCATTGTCTAGCACAATGCATCTTCTTGATAAAAGGTAAACTTTTGGTATCTGGAGGGTAAAGGAAATAAAAAAGACTCATAGCTGATATAAATCAGGAGGAAAAGGGGAAAAGGAAGCCACTTAGAAGAGTGGGTGTCATTGATTGACTGTAATTCTAAAGGGTCTTTCTTATGATGGACAAATTCTTGGAGTGTTCATTAACTAATGGAATTATGGTAGCAGATGACTGCTGTCTCCACAGAACATCAGGTTAAAAAGTGCAAAGGAATAATGGGCTTTTCTGTATCGTGGATACAGTGTCCTCACTGTCTGGAGCTCACTCAAAGACCCTGGAAAGGATCAAGGGGTTTTCACTGTTAAAAATTCATGTTTGTGTTTTCCTTTTCTTCAGTAACAGTATGCAGACATGAACTAGGGGTCTAGGTGGTGGGGGAAAAAAGAAAGAAGGAAATATCACTGTCAGAGAAGAAAATTCCCCTTCTGAAATTCCTGCTCAAAGCATCAAATGAAGTTTGAACTCAGAGGGTTAAGCTATAGAAGAACAGCACCTGGGTTTTAATACATTCAATTACCCAGAAAACAAAATCAATTTTGTTTTTGTTAATAGCACTGAAATATGCATTACACTATTTTAATTAAAGCAGTCTATTACGCTTGCCATTCAGCTCATTCCTGCCTATTCCCTTAGGGCAGTAGTCATGTACTGTGATAAAACATAATGAAAATAATTTATAACGGAAACAATACAATAAATCAATCTGATGCTTAATGAACCTGCATTACAAGAATGGATACAATATTCTTTTTTAGAGTATGTAGTGCATTCTCCTCAAATGACTGGAAGAATGCCTTACAGCACTTAAAAAAAAATAACACCTTGCTCCATCTCAGCATGCTTTTAAAGCACTGTCACTTGCAATTTAAGCAAATTTTGGCAAAACAAACACAAATCTCTTTCATTTGTGCTAGGTCTCTGATTTTTCTGTTATTTTAACTTTAGTCAGATTCATCTGCCTCACAGGGACACCTGTAGAGACCACAGGGATTCAACTCATATGCATACTTCAGCAGTCAGCTATTTATTGTCAGTATTCCAGAGACCTAAATTTTTTAAGATCAAAGTAACTCAGGTAAAATTCTCAGCTTTCCATCATAACGATGAACAAAAATAACAGGAAAACTATTGCCTTAATTATTTTTTTTATAATGCAAATGACCTTTAAGGACTTCTTTCGTTCAGCCAGTGATTGGATTTGTTCATTACCTTTATGTGACAACTGTCTGAGAGTATCTGTCAGTACATGATGTTTCATTCAGTGACCAAATGTGTGTGCAATGCTCTGATTCAGTACAGTATTTGTCATTTCTCTGAAATGTGTCTTGTCTGCTTGTCTGCTACACTTGGAACAATCCTTCCTTAAGAATTTGATCACTCACATATTGATAGGAGAATTCAATTGATTTAGCAAAGTAGATTGTCCAGAAAAACTAGGACAGTAACAGTGAAACAAATGACACAACACAGTCCAAAGACTTTGAAAAAGAAGTCACTCAGGGTGACTTGGCCATGAATCCTACGGTCACAGCCTACAGATAGCCTGTTAATCATATATTAAACAATGTTTTCCCAAGCTGGTGGATAAGGATTGAGTAGGGGAAAAAAGAACTTTACCTATGACAGCTGAATAAGATGAGATTGGCTGTGAAATTGTAACATGTTGCGGTACTTGTAGCCCACCAGTAAATTGGGAAAAAAGGACAAAAAGTGTGGAGGTGATAAGAGGAAAAAATTCAACAAATTTTCTCAGGGCATAGTGTTTCCCCTTTTTCATTTCAGGGATAGAGTGGCTGGAGCATCATTTAAATTAACAAAAATGGGATAATTTATTTATTTAGATCTTTAATGTTTTTCATTTAGAAATAAAACAAACAAACAAAAAAACCCCAGGAGTACCAAAATGTTTTCAAAAAAAGGTAGTCAAATGCTTCTTGCAGAGACCTGAATTGGGTCAAGAGGGGAACAGATATCCTCCAAATGGTATTTTCTGAAATGCTATAACTAAACCTTTAACATCCCTGAAGGTCCTTTGTAATAATTCAGGAATACAATTTATTGCTCTGGTTACTCATGATTTTTATGAGGGGAAAAAAAAAAAAAAGGACAGATAGAAAAGAATGGCTCCAGTAAGTATTATCAAATACTAAAATGCTGTTAGAGAGCAGTTCCAGAACTGTTAGCTTTTTATGCTTTCTGTCTTCTCTCACACCAAACCACAGACCAGCTCAGGAGCACAACAGGAATATCTAGGACAAGCTGCTGAAGCAGAGTT